CTTACAGTGACCACAAACAAAAATGTTCAGTTCCCTTTTGTGCCTGCACGTGGGCACATACAATGAATGGATTGAAGGGAACATAATGCTTAGATAACGAAAGTTAAGTCATTGCACATGCATGTGGAAATCTGACAGATAGACAAAAGTCTTAACATAAGCACTTCACCACCACCGTGAAGCATGCTAAAAATTCAAAAAATTTATATAAAGTGGCAAATAAACATATAAATATGTACATGTACTGGTAGCATAGAATGTAAATTATATGATAAAAATTTGTTAGCATTGTAGTCTTAACAGTATATTTTTTAATTCATCACACAATCAATAAACACCTATTGTCAATTTTTTAGGTTCAGTGGAAGTACTGTCCAAATTATGATACTTCAGTGTATACATGGAATCTAGACATTAAAAATATTGTTGTATAGACCTATCTGTAGATGGATTTAAATAGATTAATTTCTTTCATTATATTCCAAGTTAAGAAAATTGTAATCCAAAATTTCATAAAATTTTTATATATCTTTTAAAAATATGGAGATTTATAATTTTTATGCAGATAATTAAATTTTTTATTGAAATAATACAAGTCTGTTTTAAAATTTTTAACATTTTTGATTATTATTATTATACAGTAAAGCGATTGAGTGGTGATCATTTATCTAGAGCAATTGGCAGAATTGCTGGAAAAGGTGGAAAAACTAAGTATACAATTGAAAATGTCACAAAAACACGGATAGTTCTTGCTGACAGGTAATTATTTGTTCTATTATTATTATTTTAAAGATAAGTTCAGTTTATATAATTAAACAATTGCTTTTTTTTTTTTTTTAATATTTTAGCCACATACACATTTTGGGATCCTATCAAAATATTCGTGTTGCAAGGACTGCACTCTGTAACTTAATATTAGGTAGGTTTGACAATTTTAATGTTGTACTGTGTCTGTATTAACATCATCTCTAAACCTGATTTATAATTAATTCAAACTATAAATAATACCCTTATAATAGCTGATAATTTTGCATAAGTTAATGATTAGAAACTAATTCATTTGTCCAGAGGTAGGCAGTTATGCCATATTTTGTGTTAATTTTTTAAATTTGAATTTCTGGAAGAAAAGAATTGGCCTAGAGTGGGACTCAAATCTGCAATTCTTGCATATTGTGCTGATAACTTTCTAGTTACATTACCTTGTGTAACTAGAAAGGTATCTGCAGAGGATCCAATGGAGCTTGTCATTGCAACAGCAACACTAAAGAATTTTTTAATTAAAAAAACCTCTTTCTTAAAACATATTACATTAAAATAATTTAAATGTAATTAATTGTTCTCTGAGAACTACTTATTGCTGATAAATGTCACTGAATTTATTACCTTTTTATTTAACAAATTTATTTCTATTTAACAGGTAGTCCACCATCTAAAGTTTATGGAACCATGAGGCAGTTAGCAAGTTGTATGAGCGAAAAATTCTAAATGAATAATAAAGTTATTTAAATATATATCTGTTTTTGTTTATTATTTTAAATAAAATAAACACATACATAGTATTTACATTAAAATATAAAACATCACAAAACTACAAAATTGTCTTCATTTTTCTTTTTCATCATTACAAATACCAGTGACAACCCAAAACAGTTTTCACTTACAGATATGATCTTTTATTTGAGGCTGTGCCTCTGCAAAAAAATGCAAAATGGAAAAATGTCCTCTGGCAATTATGCTAATATAATTTACAATACATTTGAAGTAAACATAAATAGTATATATACATAGTAAATAAAAAAATAAACTTGCTTCCTATATTACTAAATTAACATGTCATTCATTATAACTCCCGAGATTAAAGCAGCAATTCACAGGCATGGAAAGAGCACTTGAGACCAGCAAAATTTTTAGGTTTATGTTGACCAAAAGCATGGCTAAAAAGAGAGCTTAGAAAAATTTAACTTTTCAGTGCTATGTAGTATTTGTTTTACAGCAACCAATGAATAGACAACAAAATTTGTCATTTGGTCACATACTGTTTTGTCAGTTCTAACTTGCAGTGGGAAATAAAATAGCAGAAGTTAGAAAGTGTGACACTAATTTACAGTCATTTGTAGAAAAAGTAAGGAAATATTTTATTTAGCTATACAAATTTCGGGTATAATTTTTGTTATAGGAATATGTCTGACTCAAATGTTGGAAATTATATTCAATTTTCTCATAACAGGAACAGGATAATACAATCAAATCGATAAGGTTTGTTGGCATGTATAAAAACAGCATTATCATTGTTAAGCCACTTTTTGCTGGCAACCTGAGTCCCAAAAAGAACTAGGTTTCATGTACTTTAAATTATTTCAGATGGTAAGAGCAGTCCTCCATCTAAAATACTCCTTTTGGATTTCATTGAGGCCTTCAATTGAGTGTTCAACTTCGGGAATGATGATTTTGGGTTTCACTCTAAGATGCAATGAATACATAGGGCTGTATTGGATAGAATCCAGGAAGAAGTGTGCAGGAGTGAGATCATTCCAACAAATCAGAGTTAAGAAAGGGACTTTAGTGAATTAGTCTTGGTGTCAGAGGATCCAATGGAGCTTGTCATTGTATCTATTCTTTAAATGGGAAGATATGTGATGGATCAAACCATCATGCATTGACTTCTAGTAACAATTCCAGAGAGTTCAGTCCTGCAAGGAAATAAATTGGTGTAGAAGAAACTATGATGTCTAACCAATCAAATGTCTAACCTTTTTCAGACACAAGAATCATAACTTTGGGAAGAGAGAAGCACAATCATCAGGAAGGCGTATTCTCCAAAAAGAAATGGGTTAGTCCTGCATTCATTGAAGAAGGTTAGTATTTTAACTTATTGGTATGTGTTTTGGGATATACTAATTTTGATTACATTAAATGATTGCAATAAATAAATCTGTATAAGTTTTATATTAGATTTACATAAATTAAAAAAATTATTTTTATAAAAATAGTAAAGACAGTAAGTAGTTATAAATTTACTTTATATATTCTAGGAGCACAACTAGGCGGATAGGCAGGCATGTGTCATGGATGCCAGGTAAGAGGACATCAGGAGGAGAGGAGGTGTAATTATTGAAAAATAAATTATAAGGAATAATTTATCAGCATAAGGTAAGGGGATATTAGAGGAAAGGGTGTGTGGGGAAAATGGACTAGTGATGGCACAAAGTGACTTGTGTTGTCAATGTCCTAAATCTCCAGAACAAGAAGTGACACCATGATCTTAGTTTGCACTGGGTGACAGAGAGCTTAGTTGTACTCCTTTTATATATAATTTTTTTAATAAAAGCTTTTTTTTGACATGTCTATGCCTTTCAAATATCCAACCCTTCTCTGAAAACATAAGAAAAATAAAAAGTGTAATTTTATTTTCATGGGATGTTCCATGGAATAATCTTGATTAAAGGATGATTTCACTGATTATATTTTTCTGAAATGTAATTAGTGAGAACTTTTAATCAAGATTGTTTTTAAAAAAACTAAATATTTCATACTTAATTCAAAATCATATTAAAGGCAGCATATATGTTTATACGTAATTATAATGAACATGTTTCTCACCTTTAATATATATGNCTAATTTGTTAAATGTTATGTGTATCTATTAGTCGACAATTTAGTGACATACATATTTAAATTAACGCTTCTACGGTAAAAGTTTTTGTATCTATTAGTCATAATCAACTCTGAAATGGACTAGATATTCCTTGGTGTTCAGGATGTTTTTATATTGAAGTTCTTTACTGCAGTTTCTTTGCCACGCTGAATACTCTATACAGGTAGTTTCTCTCTACAAACCTGCTCTCAAAGTTGATGAATTTCTACCAGCAAAATCTTTTTCATCCACAGAAACCAAGTGATCTACTTCTCTCTGTTATGATCTTCCTCTGTTCTTATCCATGCATTTCTCCACCCAACAATAATTTTACATGTCTTGCTCCTAGCACATGCTGGTTACAACTGCCATCTAGTATTCACATGAGGTTAACATATTAAGCAATGAATGTACAAACAGATATACATGCAGGTATTGCCATTTTCATACAAGACTACAATTGCAAATTATTTACAAACATGCCTTGTAAACAGAATATAGAATGTACCCAAAGTTAATTTGCTCATGTCAGGAACACCAAGGAGGAAACAGATTGATGTGTTACACACATGGTGACCATATTGAATGCAACTCCAAAACTAAATTAGAAGGGGATCATGTGACACATCATTTAGGGTTAGAACTTCACAAGGAATTGATTGCTGAAAGGTTTATTGATCTCCCTCAAATGATTACAGAGTTATTAATGTATTTCCTTTGTAGTTATAGGTTGAAGAATAGACAACACAATGTCCCTAACACAGGAAGAATGCATTGAATTCATCCTGCTGGTGTGAGGTTAGCCGATTGGGTGGAAAGTGTCACGACAATCGAGCAGTCAATACAGTCATGTGGGTGTGGAAAGAGTTGCAGAGACAGGTTTACCATTTAAAATCGTTTAATAAAATAAAAATTTCTTACAACTATTCTTATAATGAGGCGTAATGCCTATCCAAAGGTGGGAAGCAAGTCTGTTCAAAAAGTCCAAATGTTTCAATGATTGTTTTGTTTCTTCTGGCTAAGATTATATGGAGAGTGACGGCCTCGGGGCGCACAGCACAACTTGCAGAGATGACCTCTGATGACTAGGTGTACCTGAGCGAATCTTGACAGGACTGGATAGTGAAAATGAATCCTGGGACATCAAACAAGCCTTTGTTGTTGAAGGACAGGAGCACAAAATCCAGGAGAGGTGCACTACGAACCAAGAACGCCCTGTCCTTGAAATGCACAGTTTTATAAGTTTTTTCCTTAAAGCTGCCTTTTTATTGGTTTATACTCGTCACCTGGTGACAATTTGAAACTGATTGGAGGGCACAGGAGAGATCAGTTTTGTGACTAAACATGACTCCTCTCCAGCCATGTTTCCCTTGACTTTAGTCTTTTCTATTGTTTAAATAATTTACAAAAAATTGTTCATTGTTTAATCAAGATGTTTAATTTCTCTCTTTTGAGTTATAAAAGGAGATTTTAATTTCTTGATTGATAGTCCACATTCGGAACGCTCGTTGACTTCCTTCTGGGTCCTCACGCTGCTAAGGGAAAGAAATTCCATGATGATTGCACAGGAAATTAATCAATTTCATTCACACTGAGTACTTGTGTCACACATAGCAGTTGCCAACATACTCCAGAAATTCAGGGAGACAAAATTGGTCCATGTTAAGAAACATTTGGGTCTGTGTAATCACACTGGAACTTCTCTCTTCTGTCATCAGGACAATTTATTTGATGTGTTATTCCTTTGTTAGAGGCGTTGTGTTGTCTGTTCTTTACACCTGTAACAACAAAATAACTCTGTAGTCATTTGAGGTAGGTCAATGAATCTTTCAGCAATGAATTCCTTGTGAAGTTCTGACCCTAAATGATATGTTACACAACCCTCTTCTCATTTACAGTTTCAGAATTGCATTCAATAAAGCCACCATCAAGATGGCAGTCAGGTGTGTAACACAAATCAATCTGTTTCTCCCTAGGTGTAGAGTGTTCCTGACATGAGCAAATTAACTTAATACATTCTATATTCTGTTGCAGGTGTGTTAAGTGACTTTCTTTCCCACCCTTATATAGTTTTTATTATATATGAATTATAATTCATTAGGTTATGAACTATTATAGAAACTAACAACATGAACTTAGCCAAAAACTTTGATTTTTAATTGTATTTTGTAATTAAGTTATTTCAAAGTCACTTACAACAGTAAAAATTTTTTTAATAAGAATACCACATAAAAGCACTTTTCATTTCATTTTGATGTAATAAATAAACAATATTTAAATGCATTCTCTGCTGAGTCCATTTGTAAAATACTAAAATAAAATAAACAAAAGATATGCCAGTAGGTTGTTTGGGACTATCACTCGAACTTACGACTGTTAACCTAATGGGTACTTTACGCGGGTTCGCGGTTAGGATGCCAGGCCTGGATGTACGCATCCTCCAGAAAGTAACTATGTACAAGGATCAGTAAGGAATACAAATGTTTAATAACAACTATCAATTATCCACTATGTACAAATTAGTAAGAAACAAACAACAATTTATTCAAGAAACAAACAATTCTCAAGACTGGTACAAAATAATGTAATTTAGCTACTACCACTTATTAACTATTCCTCTAGGACTTGACAATATCAACCACTTAATACTATCCAATCCTATCCAAGTTTCCTTTGAATCACCAAGTATCACTACTCTCAGGACTCTCTCCTTATTTCTCGTTCTGGAATTCACCTCAATCTCTCTTTGTCTGGAGCTCACCTCGATCATCATCTCTGGTCTCGCTCGTTTTATGCTCTGAGGTGACGTCACAATTACTTCTGGAACCACTTTTCCTCATTTACATACTTACATCTGACATAATATTTGCATTTTCT